ATCTTTGGAAGAATTTATTAAAGATTCTAAGTAATTTGTTGTAACGAAATCCCTGATTTAATCATTTACCAGTAATACATAGATTACGTTCATTGAAACCCAAAACATCACTACAGACACGGGCATAGCGAACCAGTTGTGAAATGTAAACACCGTAAGATGGTGTCAAAGGAACATCACCTTCCAAAAAAGGAAAATAATAATAGGGAAAGAAAAATCATCCCTTTTGTCGTAAATTTTAGTGTAGAGTTTCCCGTGTAAAACTGAAATATCTAAATCTAGGAACGGACAGTTATCAACCGTTTATATTTTTATTTAAATTAAGTCAACCAAGTCAAAGATGTAACAACAACTCATTTTGATCTTTATATATTTATTATTTATCATTTCGTATTGTATCTCATGGCACACTATTTAGAACTTTTATTTACATCTGCTGAAACGTAACAGGCTGTAAAATATGAGATCACATATTTCCTGCATTTCCTGAACGGTCTCGACTTTACAACTAGCAAACACTCTTATCAACGAAATGTAAAAGCAGGGATATGGTATTAATCTAGAACACAAAATCCCTACACACACTTGACAAAAGCCAAAGAAAAGGAACAGCGCTTTTATTGCTGTTCTAAACCATAGCTTTAATGCATGTTGAGAGGGGCTTTGATTGCGTGTACATTTGAAATCGAAACCAGCACACACACCCCCCCCCCCCTTTCTTTTTTTCAAAATAAATGAAAACCACGATTATAGTTCTTTAATATACAAATAACAGATTAAAAATTAAATATTTAAATAATATTTTGAATATCACTTAGTAAGTGTTTGTACTTTTCCATTGAAATAAAAAATTAGGATGAATTTAATGACAAAACCTACGTACCACCAGAATTACAAACAGTACAATGACCAAACAAGAGGTATATATAATAACTACAATCAAACTGTGAGGAAGGTCAAACAGACTTCATACTTACGTGGACTTTCACAAACTATGTGGTGCAACAACTGTAGGATGAATGAAGCGATACACCATGAGGGATATATTTTCATAATTTAAATGTACATTAACCGAAACACACTGAATAATTTTCCCACTTTTATTTTGTTTTATAATCTGCATACCAATTGATTTGTTCTTAACGTTCCTCAATCTCATTCACAGTGTACACTTTATAGATCCAGCGAAACGCAATGATTATTATGAATCGTTTTACATGTAGATATGATTTATTCATGGAGTATTTATGATCCTTGACATTTGACATGATGATATACAATATAAATAGAATAATAATCATTGTACAGCTAACAGTAATTCTTTTCACACGTATATGTACACCTAAATACACGAAAATGGATAAATGAATACATTATAAATTCATTACCTATTTGTTTTTTTCTAACTTCGTACATAAATAGTATGAATTAAAATTTAAATTATCTCTCGACATGCTCGTCCGAATTTAAAGTATTTCTTTACTATTTCTTATTATAAATAAGACAATACTCTGATATAGATTTGGTTGCTCGCAGTAACTTGTTCTTTTCTCCTGCAAACAATGTTTAATAGCATATTAATCTAATACATGTATAATTTACTTTCAATATTAAAATTGACATTTTCATACAACAAATTGTCCAACAAGCTATTATATGTAAATGAATATAAACTATTTATATATACATATGATCCATATTCATAAATATGACAATAAACGGCAAACTGTACGTTGTAGTTAATGTGAGAACCTTCGATGAACTGACAGCTCAACAATTTCTTTATATAGTATAACGGAACCCCACCCTTTAAACCGCCAAAGGATTCACGTGCATATATTACCCACATATCTTCATCCAAAATAACAAGAAGCCGTTTTCTAACTGCTCAAACCTGTTCAAACATATAGATAGTATAACTATATTAAACACAGGGAAAATCCATAACATAAAACGAAAAGAAATATATTTACCTCGTCTGACAACATTTTTGTCAAAGCAAATTAATTTTAAAATTGATAAAAACTGGTACAATCGAAACATAGGCAACATTGTGCGGAATAAATTTGCCCTTCCGGAATCGGCAATTTTTACTGGTAAGTGATATTGAAAAAGTCTTTCGACAACAGTAATGGAATAAAATAAGGAAAACAAATGTTATACGACACATGCAACCAATGACACCTCAGAATGTCACTTGTACTTTTAAAGATACATTTCCAATTGGAACATCTGAGAAAAGTAGAGTTCCCATTCGAAAAAAATATATAAGCTTTGTTCCCATGGGAACTTCGAATTTTCCGTGAGAACAAAAAACTTTCCATGGAAACTAATTTTCTTCCCAATGGAAAATATAAGGGTTTAGTCTGTGTCAAACTAACTAACAACATTTTTATCACGTCTTCGATTGTGGTTTACCATCTACGTCTGGTCTGCTAAGTACCGAGGGTGACCTATTCCCGAATATGACTGTTTTGCCGAGTGTGAATTCGCATTGTTATTAGACGTGTCTCGGTATTTATACATCCAACATTCATGTATTTAGTTATGATGTTTCTTTTGTTAGTCTGATGAGATATTGTGTTATGTCTTATCGTTTGTGGTTTTAATTCTATTTTTATTTTCTATATGTATGTAAAAGTTAAGGTTATTAATCAGCTAGTTCATTTATATGATTTTTAGTTTAAAGCAACTACACTACCAAGAATTTACCAACGTTTTTTTTGGTACATTTCTACCCTCGTACATATCAGTACTGTTCGGCAAGACTAAATACTTGTAATGTTATACTTTCTATTAATTCAGTACTGTTTATTATTATACAAAAACTGTACAATTACTAATTCTATAAATTCAGTACTGATTTTTTCAGTACAGTAACTGTTTCAATACTGATTTCGTCAGTACTGTTTCAGTACTGATTTTGTCAGTACTGTTTCAGTACTGATTTCTTCAGTACTGTTTCATTATGATACTGATTAAGTCAGTACTGTATCTGTACGGAATATTTCATTACTGTTTTAAGTATATTCTTACTTTTTTTCAGTGCATGGATTAATGTGTTCATTTAAAAAAAGATGTCATTTCTTTAAGTACGTAGCTGTGCACTTTAGTTTTTTATCTTACAATTGGTTACAATGTTTACATTTGAATGCATACAGTGATGCCAATTTGAAAATAAAAAGAACTGAAAAACTAATCAACTAGGTAATTATGTATTAATAGCAAAATTAAGGTATCGGTGGTCTTAGGTTGTTTTGTACATTTGGGTTGGGTTAATTGTTCTCTTTGACACTTACCCCGTTTCCATCCTTTTCTATACTGTGACATGTTGATGATATCGTTATGTTTTTTTATTTCTCTGATTTTTTGTTCTGATTTAGTTTTACTTTAGGTCCAGCTCTTCAACAGTTATTTTAGCTGTTTTTTTCAATATTTCGGCATTGTCAAATTTGCATCTCATTCTGGTGCGGTCAATTGATATGGTTTATGTTTTTAGTAAGTTCTTATTAATATAGGTTTTATTTTTGACAATATCATATTACATGTATCTGTGTCTTGCTTGGGTCAAATCAAAACATATTTAACAAGACTTGAACATTGGAACTGGGTATATTACTTTTGAGAAGATGGATTGGTGGATGTTTTGTCATCCAGTGGCAAGTTAAGTGCATAATCAGAACGAGGACTTGATACTCATATAAATAATGACACTATTTTGTACTAGACCAATATTACACCCTGAGCTGAATTTTTGACATGCTAGTTCACCACAAGGAGAGAATCTGCTAGAAGTCATGTCATCCTAACTGGACAGGTACCTTCAGACTAAACAGTCTATGTTTTTTCTCCTTAAAAAAGTTTACGCTGTGTGCTGAGGGAATAATTATAATACAACCACTTTTCCAGTCCTAATTCTCATAAATACATTTCCGTTTATTTGCCCATTGTAAGGGAGCTTTTTCACTGTGTTCGGTCCTGCTTTTTTTTTAAGTTTATCCTGAGTTTTTTTTACCTAAACTCCTGTCCAGCCTATTTTTTTCAAATTTCGTCCTAGCCCCCCCCCCCCCCCCCCCCCCCCCCCATAAAAATCAAATGGTAGCTCCCTAAGATTTTTAATGGTTAAATAAATTTATTGACAGTCATTGGTAGATTTCCTTTTTTTTTGTATACATTAATCATGCTGCAGTTTCATTCACTTGTAATTTGTGTATTGTGAATAGTATCTGCATTGAGGGTAACTTAGATATGAAAAACTCTTGTAATCTGTCCTATTAACCTTAGCTTCAAAGCATATTTAACTAAAAAATAAATGAAATTTTGTGTCAGAATTAATAGGTATCCTGTTAACAGGAAGTTGAATGGGTGAATTTTATACTGCATTACTCAGTAAAGCATGTTCACATGAGGACTGATGACTTTCGGGAAACTCTTGATTTGTAATTCCTCAGAAAACTGTGATGGATTTGCATATTACAGACAGACATACAGAGGTTAAAAAAGTATCAAAATCTAAAGACCGATTTCCAACAGAATGATTTTAAAATGTCTGAAGGATGTCATTTGGTACATTAATTTATAACCTTTTTGATTTTTTAGCATAAATTTCCACAAAAAGACCTTCTCCTTTCATGAAAAATGACTTAATCAAATATACCTCACATTACAAATTACATAAACTATTACAAGTTATATGGATTTGAGTTACTTTTTGAAAATATTTCAATACTAGTACTAAAAAACATGATTATTAATTTTACATTATTCCTGACAATTGTGGTCAGGTGACTATGTATGTATGTATGTATGTACGTAGATCCCTCCGTTTACGGAGCACCCATCGAGAGCCGCGACTGTACAGTGGAATCCGTGTAGTGACACTCCCTATCGGAATTAATGGCGATGTGTCACTAATGTACATTTGTTGACCATTAAAATACATGCTTTGCTCATCAACATTGATTTTTTTGTTAACTGAATAAAACAAGATGAAGATCTCAAATGTTTAACTTTCTCTTTTTATCTACTGTATTCACTTCCATTGCAAGTACAATAAACATTAATCTTAAGAATGAACAGCATGATATAGTTACAACATGTAAAATTTCTCTCTCAATTTGATGTTTTTAATCACTGTTTCATAATTCTGCTTCAGTGTTATTTTGCACTGCTCTTCCAATGCATGTGATATCACATATCTTCGCCAACTTGTTTCTGAAAAATAAAAGGTTGATTATAACACTGTCAGATTTCAATGTTATCATGTTTGTTAAAGTCCAATAATAAGGTCAACTAGTATAGGTCAACCATAACATAATATGTATAGTGTACATGCATTGCTAAAGGTGGTATTACGTAAATAAAGGTTCATATTATCATGGAGAAAAATGAAAAAAGAATGGAATAATGTATGGGTTACCTACTTGAAAACTGATCTAATACGATTGGGAGAAAAATTTTAGCGCCCAAAGTCTGGGTTGGCAAATTTCCATGTTTTCAATATAGGCTGCACTCTGACATTCTTAAATGGTTTTGTTATAAATTATGCCGTTAACTTTTCTAAATTGAATTGTTTCATATTTTTCATGTCTTCGACCTTTGTAGCCGACTATACGGTATGGGTTTACTCATTGTTGAAGGCTGCACAGTTGCCTATGATTGTTAATATCCACTTCATCTGAAATTTGGTGGGTAGTTGTCTCTTTGGCAATCATACAACATTTCATTATTTTATACAGCAGTTTAAAATTTTTAAAAAAGTATTCTTCTTGTTGAATTTTTCATTATTTGTAACAGTGGCAATTCTGATTAAATTATCATTTTAATCTGTAATCCAGTTTCAGAGAAGGAGATCTTTGTTTAGATTTCCTTTAGGTTCATATGTTAAACTATGTCCTGATGTGACACTCATCTTTGGATCGGCACCAAAACAAAACATAATCAGATTATTCGAGCACAATATCAATGCAATCTGTCAAACAGTTAACTGAGGTTTTGTGTGCGGATATGTACTTCCTATAGGATTCTTTGTTAACCATATTGACATCTTTCAATTGTTGAATGCTGCTCTCTATTCTTTTGAATTAATCGTTGTTGGTTTGTTGTCTCATGAGCGCACTACAACATTTCATGTTATTGAAATAAAATAATACGGACAAACTGAAAATACTTACCTAAAAAAATCCTAATTTCTTACCAGTTCTATCTCGATCTCATATATTATCTGTGCATTACAGTTTTTAGTTGTTGATCTATGCCTTTATTTTCCTCATAGACTTATTCTTTTTGTTCTGGTGGGATCCATTTTTGGAAACCTATAACAATGGATACTGCATCAAATATTTTGCATCAATTTGTAAAAAGTTGTTATTCCCAACATGCTTTTTATGGTATTATTTATGAACCTAATACTTTATAAATTGTCATTTGAAAAAGTACATCATGAGAGAAAGATTGTATCGAAGTGTTACAAAGTTCTGTCAAGTGGTTCATAAGCAATTGATGACACATGGGACATAAGGACAAAAGGACAGACCCCCCCCCCCCCCCCCATCATTAGATACATGTACCATACCCTTTAGCAGGTGGGTTAAGTCGCCACATACACGAACAGGAATAAAAGTGCCTGTCCTAATTCAGGAATCTTTGGGAAATAGTGGTCAATTGAAATATTATAACACATTTATATAACAAGAGTGTCCACGCTGAAATGTCGTGCCTGCTTTACTGACCATGCACTATTTCTTTTGAAAGATTAATGCATAAAAGTACCACAGAAACTTGACATGTTCAATGATCCATGACAATGAAATTAGAGTGTCAAATTATGACAGTCAATTCTATAATCATAGATAGGACAGTCCATATATCACGATAATGACCAGTTTTTCAATAACTATTATATAATTAAATTGTTTTGAACATGCATGTAATATTTGCCACTGGACATTAAGCACATTTTGAATACATGTATTGTAAGTACTTTATGAATAAGTTAGTATTTTTGAGGACTCTCACTGGCTCAGTAGGATTATTTTTATATAATAGGATTATCCTCTTGAAATAAAGATTATTTATACGAAATTTTGTTCAATAATTATGTGTCGGATTATTAGGGTGTCGGTTCATTGGGTCGTCGGACTTTTTGGGTATCGGACAAATGGAGCCTTGAACCGACATAAATTCGATCATTGACCAAAAAAAAAATATATTTCTACAAAGTGTATGTACATGAACTCTTCATATAAATTTCACATGCAGTTTCCCTTGTAGTATGAAAACCAGGACAAGACCGGTTCAAACAGGAAGATTAAGAAAGCAAAGAAAACTGTGCACTTTATAAAATGGTCTGGATGGGGTTTCTTCATTTCTGTATTCTTTAATATTTTATGATACCATTTTCACTATTTATTATAAATTTAGCATGTTATTCTCTTTTCTTTACATTTTCTTTACATTGTTTGTATCTTTTCTTCGCTTGTCATGTTTTGGAATTTTTGTCAGATTTTCGGAATCCTCTGGTTTTATCCATTTGAATGCCTTACAAAATTTTGCCCACTAACCCCCATTTTTCTTTTTATAAATCTTTTAAATGTTTAAATATAAGGCATCTGTAAAAGTCTTATAAAATCTTTGTTATTTTTTAATAGTTTTTGAGAACTTAAACTTGTCAATGATAAAGCTATGAAAAATCAAGAGAGAACATTTTCCCGCCAAAATTTCAATGGCAAATATCTCAAAAACAAGCACACGGACCTATATTTTTTTTTCGCTCTTTTGGTTCCTTTATTAGACCCCTATCAATATATTCTAGTGTTATGAAAAGCTTGTTATTTTGAAACTGAGTAGCGAACTTCCTTGAATCCGTGAAAAAAGAAGGGACAGTGGACAGTTGTCTGTTTTCTGTTTCTTGGTCTTTTCTCACTTGCCGTTGGAGGCAAAATTTATGTCTCTTTAGTTTGTATCTTATTATAAAAGAATATAGGTGAAAAATATAATCCCGCTAACATGTTTAACAACGCCACATTCTGTATGTATGTGACTGTCCCAAGTCAGGAGCCCGTAATTCATTGGTTGTCGTTTGTTGGTGTGTTACATATTTCAAAGGATGGATGAAATGGAAGAAATATGCCGGTAAATTATATTTTTATAACAAATATGATTATTTTTAAACTTAGACCAAATTTTGGCACTCACCGCAAAGGACCAAAAAAAAAAACGGACAACGTTTTGATAAATATTGTTTTAAGCTGCAGTTATGTGGTTTTAAATAGATGTGTAAAAATGGCGAATATGTGTCCCCCTTTGACAAAACATCAGGAAATTTCATATTGCCTTTAATCTAACTTTTCAGATGATTTTTTTTCAAAGAAACACGTTTTCAAGCTAAGAATATTTTTTTTTTGATGTTATCTTCATATAGAAATATCAGTATACTTCAAAAACATAAAGACCTGAACATAAACTGCAGAAAACATGGAAAATTATGGCGAAAATAAGCACCCCACTCTATTGACTTAGCACTAAAAAAGTGCATTGAAATAGGATCAAATAGGCCTAGTTTTTTGTCGAAATAGAAGACAAAATATAAGAAATTATATCAGGATGTTCACAAAAAAAAAAACAACGAGTAAACGTATGATTTCTTAAGTTTGTAAAACTTACATGCAATAGCAATTCGTAGACGATTCGAAAAGGACCCTTCATCTCTGACTTGTCGTGGAAATCGTGCCGGTTTCTCAGTATAACTTTAAGACTTTTTGCAAGTGGCTTGTAGAACAATATCCAAAAGCATATTGACGTTTCATATCTGTGACGTTGCAAAACTTGTGCCTCTCTGTAGAACAGCGCTTTCCCGCCGTCCATAATTTTTCCCGCGTCAATTGAGCCGTAATTATGAAAAGCGATGTAAAAGTAATTTTATGAAAACTATTGCTCTAAGATTGTTATAAACGATGTTTTTAATACAACATTATTTAAAAATACAACTTTTAACCTTGAAATATAGTTTTTTTTTTTTATCTTTCTTGTCTTTATAAAAAAAAATGAAAATAATATACCCATTGCTACTAGCTTTATAAGCGCTTTTGTTTTATCTTTTTCAAGTGAAATGCATAACTGATTCTTAACCAAGTTGGCAAGTATTTCATGCAATATTTAGGACGTCTGAAATTTAATGTACAATAAATCTGTTGCTCAGTGGGTCCTACAAAGTAAAAGAACTGTGATGAATGGCTCAAAATTGAGGCTTTGCCAAGTGCTGGGAAAGGATGATTTGTAGGAAAGGAAAAAAATCATTGGGTCACCTACTTAGGGAGCTACCATTTGATTTTTAGGGGGGCGGGGGCTAGGATGAAAAATTTTGTTCTGCATTTTTTTTTTAGTTGTAATCTCTGTCCTGCCTTTTTATTTTTCACTCTATTCGGTCCTGCATTTTTTTTTATGTTTATCCTGACTTTTTTTTACCTAAATTGTCATCCTGACTTTTTTTTGGCAAGTGTCTCATCCTGCCTTTTTTTTTAACTCAAAACTCCTGTCCTGCCTGTTTTTTTCAAATTTCATCCTAGACCCCATAAAAATCAAATGGTAGCTCCCTTATTTAACATCCCCATTTCGAATGAAAATGAATATTTTTTAGATTAATGCTTCAATGATGAAACGGGAATAAAATGTATTGAAATATCGTATGGCAGTACAAGTATATCGGGTAACATTTGTGTACTTTTACAAAAAAAATCTTCACTGAGAATTCAATCGCGGCATTTGAGTCCTAAAGAAATTTTTCAGTTCTCTAAAATAAAGCGTGTATTGTGTATATTAATATTTCGCGTAATCAAGTATAACAGTTACCTTTTCTATGACTATTTATTAGGAATGCGATTATTATATGAGACATTCTGATTGAAAGATGTATGAAAAAAACTGACGTTTAACAAATTTCTCGAAAGTACTAGTATGCAACATTTTACATGAAAATGACGAACTAGATAATTAGTAAACACGTTAAATAAGTTGGTATTACAGTACTAACAAGCTTATGATCCTGTATCATTTTTTGACATCCGTTTTAAGTATACAAATAATGCATTTAATTCAGTTTGCTTCATGACCTTCATTCCCGCCAAAATCGTCCTTTTGGCGCGGTCTTTTGACATTGTCAGTGCTCCTCAGGATTGTGACGTTACTATGGACCTTTGACGTTCTACACAATCAACAAGATTTGTGTGTAGAAGCCATGACAAATGTCACTTTGGCAGCAAGAGGGTTAATATTGAACATAGTATTACAATTGCCTACGTTTATGTGATTGAATTTCATGACGTCATTCATTGTTTACAAACGTTATTTTTGCACTCGCACTGACATTTCAACAAGTCAACAGTTCAAACTTCTTCTGGACAAAAGGTATGGTATATATTGAATATTTTAAAACTGAGAAAATTATCGCATGGCTAATTATTTAAAACACATATCCTAAGTAGGAAAATACGCGTTACACATTGGCGGATCTAGGTGGGTCCGGGGGTTGGAACCCCCCTTTTATGGGACGATCAATGAATTTGAATGGGGACATATAGTTGGATCATGTCGTTTTTCATATCAGACCCCTTATCAGCCCATGGTCAAAATCATCCCTCGAGCCTGTCGGCTCTCGGGCTGATAAGGGGTCTGATATGAAAAAGGCCATGTTATAATCTATATATATCAATCAATACTTGATATTTGAGAATTATTAATCCTGAATGTTTCTGAACATATGATAAGGAAAAGGGGGGGTGAGCATCGGCGGATCCAGGGGGAGGGGTCCGAGGGTTGGAACCCTATTTTTTTTGGCGATTAATGCATTTGAAAGGGAAAATAAGTTTGGGAACATTATCTCCTGATTTTGATCCCCTTTTTGAAAATTGCTGGATCCGACCGACACATGCTCATTTCCTCAAATCCTGTGTTTTTGTCACACAGAATTTTTTTTCCGATCTTTTCCCACTTCCCACTTCTTTCTCTTCTGTCCCGATCCCACTTGTTCTTGGTCCTATTTTGACCGGGTTTTTTTACTGATGCTTCATTTATTTGTGATACATTTTGATATTAGTCCACCATTGTCCCAGGTGCCAACAAACTTATATAATCCCGCCACATTGTCTGCTATATATTGTTTATTATTTTTCTTGTTTGAAATGTTTTACAATAACATTTTAGTTACTTTTGGATTTTTTTATTCAGCCATGCTAGATCTATACACCTTATCGCTATTCCCGCTTGACCCGAGAATCTGTCCCGCTCGACCTTTTGACGTCATACAACAATCACTTTTCCATTGTGGTGTCAAACATTTTCTATTATGACGTCAAAATTTTACGGGAACTTGTGTGATGTCCAGTAATGGCGGACAAATAGCGATAAGGTGTATGCGATCACTCTGGTTTTGGAGATGGTGCAAAATACTAAGTTGAAGACATATCATGAAACTAATTATGTGTTTTTATGACTTGCAGAAACTTTCTACACCATTTTAATCATCAACTGCA